TGACCCAGTACACGCGGGGGGGGGTGTGTATGTGTGAATAGCTGTGCTGTCGGAGGGTGTGAAACGGTCTTCAGAGCGACAGGCAGAACCAGCTTGAGACTGAAAGATGGAGACACAAGCATAGAATCACAGAATCACAGAATGGTTTGGGTTGGAAGGGACCTTACAGACCATCTAGTTCCAACCCCCCTGCCGTGGGCAGGGACACCTTCCACTAGACCAGGTTGCTCAACGCCTCATCCAGCCTGGCCTTGAACACTTCCAGGGATGGGGCATCCACAGCTTCTCTGGGCAACCTGCCACAGTGCTTCACCACCCTCCCTGGGAAGAACTTCTTCCTGATATCCAATCTAAATCTCCCCACTTTCAATTTAAACCTGTTACCCCTTGTCCTGTCACTACAGATCCTTGTAAAAGTTCCCCACCAGCTTCCTTGTAGCCCCTTCAGGCACTGGAAGGGGCTATAAGGTCGCCCCAGAGCCTTCTCTTCTCCAGGCTGAACAAGCCCAACTCTCCCAGCCTGTCCCCATAGCAGAGGGGCTCCAGCCCTCGGAGCATCTTCGTGGCCTCCTCTGGACTCGCTCCAACCAGTCTATATCCTTCTGATGCTGGGGGCTCCACAGCTGGACGCAGCACTCCAGGTGGGGTCGCACAAGAGCAGAGTACAGGAGTAGAATCCCCTCCCTCGACCTGCTGGCCACACTTCTCCTGATACAGCCCAGGATACAGTTGGCTTTCTGGGCTGCCAGTGCAACCTGCTGACCAAGCATGACCAAGGCATCCACAGGCAGCCAGCTTCTGTGCAATTACCATCCTCATTACGCTACCACCAGTGTCATTAAGTGTCATTAGGTTTAACTTGGTTCCCTAGGACTTTCTGATTAATTGGATTACCCAATTAAGCAGGCCACAATTAAAGGGAAGATACTGCCATTAAAAGCCTTAGCTGTCTAACTTTTTCCCTCTTGAGCTGCTCTGAGTGTTCGATACGCCATTAAGAAACTCATCATCCCATTTCCACAACAGTGCGTTCTGGGGTTTTTCTCTTTTCTTCCCACAGCATTAGCACCCTTTTGGTGTGAGCTTCATTTCATATGGCTCCAACACCGAGCAAGCATTTTGTTTCACAAAACCCCTGCACCGGTTTGTTTTGCAGAGCTATAAACCGCAGTAGGTGGTTGTTTAGCAGATGGAGTTTTTCATGGAAGGTGACTGGTAAAGGAAAAAAAAACCCAAACCCTGCACAACATTTTGTTGCTGTATAAAGAAAAGCCAGGTTCTGCAAACACTTGGCCACGTGCTTGTCTTTAACTGTGTAGACTGTGCCAAGATTCATTTTGATGAATATTTTTTTGCATGTTGGTGATGCTAAAGTGACAGCTCGTTTCTCTCCTGTCCTTCATCCCCACAGTAGTGCTGGCATGAATGTCAGTCTGTCCCACAGTGATCCAGGCAGGGAAAACAAATCCTGAATAAAATTCCTCTGTGACCCACATGGGCTATTTGCAGCGCAGAGCCAGTCCTGGTCCTCTTTGCTGTGTGGTCGCACCAGCGTCACCCAGCACAAGGGAGGGGACACAGCGGGGAGAGCAGCCAGTGTCAGGGAGCAGAGGCTGCCAGCACTGGCTCTGAGATACAAGAAATGTCACCACCCTCCGAGCTCTCGGCTTTTGGTGAAAATCTCATGGAGATTTAGATTGGATATCAGGAAGAAGTTCTTCCCGGAGAGGGTGGTGAGGCACTGGCACAGGTTGCCCAGAGCAGCTGTGGATGCCCCATCCCTGGAAGTGTTCAAGCCCAGGCTGGATGAGGCTTTGAGCAACCTGGTCTAGTGGAAGGTGTCCCTGCCCATGGCAGGGGGGTTGGAACTAGTTGGTCTGTAAGGTCCCTTCCAACCCAAATGATTCTAAAAATGGCTAGCGGGACAAGAGACCTGGTGGCAGCAGAGCTATTTACACTGCTTTGGGCACAGCAACCTGGGCCTGCTGAGGGCACACCATTTGTCAGGTATGTGCACAAACTAAAGGGCACATTGTCTACTTTATTATCTCGCCAAAATAAGAAAGACCTAGGCCAGGAGAGAATATGACCCTTTTAAGAGAAAAAAACCTCTCCTTCCAAAGAAAATGAAGACATTTTCCCTCCAACTGAGGGCTAAGAAAATTGTCACCAGATCTTTGAGTAGTCCTCCAGAAAAAAATTGAAATGAAAAAGTGGTGGCTTTTAGGTAAAAGATATAAGATGAACAAGTTGAGCCTTCTTCACACAGCAGGTCCCAACTTTTCTCCTTGACATACCACATTCCTCCTTAGAAAAAGGACACTGGCTATAAACTCTGAGAAAAAAAATTAAAAAATGTTTCAGATGGGGTTGAAAACTGGAAGAGTTTCATTGCTGGGTTATTAATTGAAATGGGGACTAAAAGCATCATTTCTTCAGATATACTATAGAATATTCCTATCGAACGCTCCAAGTACCTAACACCTGATTAACAGAGTCAGATCACAGCAGCACTGAAGTGCTCCTGCCATAGGATCTCAGCTGGCCAGGCACTGCAGAGACAGCTTTTCGTACCAAAAAGCAGCCAGCACCAGCACTCCCAGCTCTTGGACCTTGCTCAAGGTGTAACCGAACTCGTGTGGGGAACAGGAGTTGTTAGTCACAGTCTTAACAGGCAACCTCAGAGACCCATATGGCCATGCTTCTCATGCAAAGACCAGGTTAGGAGGGCTGAGCGACCTCAGATTGCCACGTCCCTTTATTTTCTGGTGGTAATTCCCCTTGACTTGTGCATGGTTCTGATAAACCCCCCTCTCCCCTGGGGTTTCTGCATGTCTCTGATGAGGTTAACATGGGGCAGTATGGCTGTCAGCAAACATCCCCTCCCTGTGGGTCCAGGGATGCCAGAGGAGGGAAGAGCATGCAGAAGCAAGGGAATGAGTCAGAGGGATCCCTGGCTCCCTGCAGAGCTGGTTGCAGGCACAGCAAATCCACATCCACAGCAAAATCCCATCAGCCGCCAGCTTTCCTAGGCACAGGCAACCGTGCCCAAGTGCTGCCGAGCTCCAGATGTTTCCCATTTGCTGTGGCCCAGGTGGGGGGTATAAATGTGCCAGGGCAGGAGGAGGATGGTCTGTGGGCTCTCTGGTAACTGCTTGTGCTACTCTCTGCTTTTACAGCTGTATGTAGCCTGGGTTCTTTTTCGCTGGTTGAGAAATTTAAGGTGGAAGAGGATAAGGGGAGGGCAGGCATGTGGCATTTTTAGGATTTGGTGGCTATGTTTCTGTGTGGTGAGTAGAGGATGAAGTATTGGTGGGTGAAGTTGCCTTGGAGGCTTAGTAAGAAAGGCAGTGATTTTGGAGTTGTATCTAACTTGCACCAACAAGGTGAAAAGCAGAAGCTGTTGTTGTTACATGCAGAGTAACTGGACTTGTATTTTCTAGTTCTGGGGTACTATTCCTTAACCAGTGCTGTCAAATGAAGTCTATGAGGGACTGAGGCTTATGTGTAGGTGGGGGTGTGCATTCAGTGAGTACAACTGATGCCTGTGATAAGGCAAGGAAGATGGTGTTAATCTGCTGGTGTAAATAACTCTACCTTCCTCTCCCTCTGCCCTTTTCCCTCTCACAAAGCAGGCCAGTACCAGCTATAGCTGTTCTGTTTCATGTGGTGCAATGAGTGACTGGGACAACAGCGATGAATTCATTCAGCGACTGGATTTTTCCAGTTGTGGTGAAGAGAGTGAAGACAGGAGCATACAGGAGGAAGATGATGCCCTGAGCTCGAGCCCTGCCAGGAGCTATAACTTCCAGAAGTGTCAGGGGAGCAGTCCTCTGCCAGCAACCCCTCAGAGAAAGCTGAGTGAGATTTTCCTGAGCAGGACGAAGCCCTGGGTGAGTCCCACCCTGAAGTCTTCCCCGGCCCTGAGTAGGAGCCGGGGCAATGCTGAGACCCCCCTGCACATCACTTGGAACAAGCTGCAGCTATGTGACAGCCCGTACACTCCCAAGGTAACGGCATGTACCACTCGGCCTGAGCAGGGCCTGGGGCGTCGCTGTGTGGGTGGCGAGGCAGTCTGTTGTTCCCTCTGTGGAAAGCATTTTTTTAATGTTACTGTTGTTAGTCTCTACCCTTCCCCTATAAACCTGCACCATGAGCTCCTTAGCTATGGAAGGGTTATTCAGTGAGCGTGAGCAGAAACCTGTGTGTGGGAGCAAGTGTCTTGACACTTTTCAAGTTGTTACAACCCATTAGTTGGTGTTGGGCCAGCCTGACTTAAACCCCAAGCAACCATGTGCCTTGGCTGCCCATGTGCCCCTGACGTTGTGCGTGGGGCAGTGGACGTGTGTAGCATCTCTGTGGGAAGTGTGCATTTTGCTCCCTGAGGGATAAATGCATCTCTCCAAGGAGCACGTTGTTCCAGGGGAGCTTGGAGAGAGACAGCTGCCCTGACTGTTCTGTTCAGCACACTTTTGGATACAAGTGGATTTTCTCTTGAGAGGGAGTTGGAAATGACGTTGTGGCTGGGGCATGCTTTGTCTGGCAAGTCTGGATCACCTCCAACTAGTTGTTGTCCAGTAATGCTGATTCTTTTTGTGTGAAACTGAGATGATTGAGTTTGGGGAAAGCGGGGACCTGGATGTTCTCTGGGTAGCAAATCAATGTGTCCTTATGGAGGGAGGTTAGCCTGTCTTCCTCTATGACACTGTCCTAAAATGTAACTTATCTACTGAGCTAGCTGCTTGGGAGAATGGTCCCAGCCCCTTTTTTCTGTGAAACTACTTGTATAGAACATGATACAACCGCGTTTTGTCTTGTGTAAGCACAAGTGGAGACTTGGTGCCAGCTTCTCTGCTCCTAGGTAACTTCTGTTGTGTGCACTGGCTCCTGGCATTCAGGATCTGCCACGTGGTGTAGCTAGGTCAGCCCTCTCCATGTTCCTGCTCTACTGATAGTTTGGTTGCTCCTTTGCTGAAGTGTTACACAGAAGATTAGCTGTACCTTTTAGTACAGGGAACTAAGGAACTAGGATTTTACTTCTGTCCCCCTCCAGAAACTTGATTATGTGGAGAGAAGGATGATCCTCTGGCCACTTACAGAATCATAGAATGGTTTAGGTTGGAAGGAACCTTAACCAACTGTGTGGCTATACCTACTGAGGAATTGCCTGCTGCTTTCTAAGGGAAAGCAGCTCTAAATGGCATCACTCCCAAGAATTTACTGCAATTACCCTTTATAAGAAATTCTCTTGAGCCTCCTCTGAAAGTAGGTGAGAGGTCTAGAATCTATTCCAAACTAGGTGGTTTACTGGTAGTTCAGGGTGCTTTCAGTGTGTGCTCTGGCATAGACAGTATGTTGGCTGAATGCTTCCAGACATGCTGCCTGTGGTTTTTAACCTTGTAGCCCATGAGCAGCAATTACACTGACTCCACAATTTCTTTCCCTTTGTCTTCTGGGAGAAAGGTCTTGGTTTCTAAGCATGCTGTAAAAGGTGGGCTCTAAAGGGCCTAAATGTGAGGCTGGGAGCATTGATCTTGGAATCACAGAATGGTTTGGGCTGGAAGGGACCTTAGAGACCAACCAGTTCCAACCCCCCTGCCATGGGCAGGGACACCTTCCACTAGCCCAGGTTGCTCAAAGCCTCATCCAGCCTGGCCTTGAACACTTCCAGGGATGGGGCATCCACAGCTGCTCTGGGCAACCTGTCCCAGTGCTTCACCACCCTCTCCGGGAAGAACTTCTTCCTGATATCCAATCTAAACCGCCCCACTTTCAATTTAAACCTGTTACCCCTTGTAAGAAGTCCCCCCCAGCTTCCTTGTAGCCCCTTCAGGCACTGGAAGGCTGCTATAAGGTCTCCTCAGAGCCTTCTCTTCTCCAGGCGGAACAAGCCCAACTCTCTCAGCCTGTCCCCATAGCAGAGGTGCTCCAGCCCTCGGAGCATCTCTGTGGCCTCCTCTGGACTCAGTCCAACTGGTCTATATCCTTCGGATGTTGAAGGCTCCACTGGACTCAGTACTCCAGGTGGGGTCTCACAAGAGCAGAGCAGAGGGGGAGAATCCCCTCCCTCGACCTGCTGGCCACACTTGTCCTGATGCAGCCCAGGATACGGTTGGCTTTCTGGGCTGCCAGTGCACACTGCCGGCTCATGTCCAGCTTTTCATCCATCAATGTGGATAAATTCAACAACAGTGGAATGCTTGAAGGTGAGAGACAGGGTAAGAACAGAGCCACCTCTAGCTGCAGACAGGTGAGCACTGGATCCCCAGACTGTCTGTGGACTTACCCAATCCTGGAGCAGACTGCTAGAGCCAGTTACAGTAGGTGCCTTACACTGAATGGCAGCAGCTACTATCAGATGATAGTATGGGAGACACATGCCCTTGATTATGAAATAGAGCCCTAGTAGAGCAGATGGGGGCTGTATGCATACAACAGCAGGCTGCAGTGGTATTTTAGATCCTTTCTTGTGGCTAGACTAGACCATATCCACAACTCCGCAGTGATTCTAGGCTGCTGGGTAAATTGGGTTTGGGCACATACTGCTTTGAATACATCTATATGCAGAATTACATCCAAGAGCAAGGAGATGCTGAACTTGAGGAATTGACTCCAAAAGTACTTCTGGATCATAGTAAACCAGTAGCTGAACTACCAAGCATGGCATAGAAATAGAGAGGTGTCCCAGAAGTAGCTATATCCGTAAGTGCAGCATCAATTAGGATGCAGGATACTGCATGCAGCTCTATGCTTTTTGTCCTCAAAAACTTCCAGTGGGAGAAGGGAGGAACTCTAGATGGAAATTCTAGTGGAAGATGTCCCTGCCCATGGCAGGGGGGTTGGAACTAGATGGTCTTTAAGGTCCCTTCCAACCCAAACCATTCTGTGATTCTAGATATGATCCTGGAGCCACATGTCCACTCACAAGAGTGAGATCATCAGAAAGATACTTCTATATCTTGATCTTTGATGGGTAAAGTTCTGGGTTCCTGAAGGAAATGAGATAAGTTAAGGGCTTTTAACTAGAGGAGATGTTTAAAACCCCTTTAGACGTTACAGTACTCTCCTGAAGCTGAAACAAGTTAAAAACTTGTATTCCAAAAAGCTGATGGTTACTGAAGGGATCGAATCACCAAGTAGATTGTGTTTTGGTTTTGTGTGGTTTGTGTGGGTTGTTTTGGTTTTGGTTTTTTTTTTTTTTCCCCCCTGCCTTCAAATCAAGACTGGGTTCATCTCTGAAATTATGCTTTACTCAGCCCAAGGTTTTGGACTAGTAGGTGAAACCCAATGGCCCATATTCTATGGGAAGCTGAACTACAGAAGATCCAGAGGTCCCTTCTGAACTTAAATTCCTGAAACTCCTGTTTGTTGTTTCCAAGGAGAACTTTTTTCTGGTCACTTTGACAGCAGCCACGTAAAAAATATTTCTACCAACTTGCCCTGTATATTAATGCTGCTTGCTGCCGAGGAACTGAAAGGCAACTTGGGTGATGTTCTACATCCTCTCCTGACAAACCTGTCCTGACCAAGCTGATGCAACAGTCTCTGCTTGATAGAACTGGGTGTTCCATGTTAATGCAACATATGACACAACTTCTGTGCCTCTGTAAGTGGGAAAGATGAGCAGCTGGTTCTTCCTGAGGACTGATCTTGCCAAAATGGTTCTGCAAGCCTCACCTAAGTGAACAGGGAAATGAGTCTGAAGGGCTTCCTCTGTGGAAGGAGAATAAAACTGTCAGGACTAAATTAGGGGTGGAGGGTTTTAATGATTCAGCTATCCTGAGGAGGGGAGCTGAGCTCTCAACTTGCAAGAGAGCAGAGATTTTATTCTGACATAGCAGCAACAAAAATATTGTGCTGGTGTATCTGCTTCTTTATTTTTTTTTTCTCAATACAGAGCCTGTTATCAAAGACAGCTTTTCCTTCATCTGTGACAAAAGTCCCACCCAAAGGCTTCCGACATCTGACACTTCCTCCTGGTGCTGACTTGGATGACTCCACCCAAGCTCCTCTTGTCAACATCAATCCCTTTACACCAGAGTCCTATCGACAAACGCTCTTTCTTCCTAATGGCAAGCAGAAGTCCCGAGGAGAGGTGTAAGTGAATGACTCTTAAATGACAGGCTGAAAGGAGACAAATAATGACGGGGAAGTTTAGCACCTGACTTATTTGCTAACAAGGAATCATTTGCTGCTGTAGTTTTCACTGGTGTAGAACAAACATTAGTAGACATATGAAGGGAATAAAAGCACAAAATCAAGTATTCCTTTGTTCAGAAGTGTAATCTGGGGATCAACAGCTAAGAACCATGCTCTGGCTGTAGGAGAAAATCGTAACTCTTTCTTGCTCAACCATGGGTAGCGTGGGGCTTGATTGTTATGCACATACCCACAGCTCTGAAGGAATGACATGCATGTAATACAGCTTTTAAGATGGGCACAGGCTACTGCTGGCATGCAGAAGTTCTAGACCTGATCTGGGTTAACCAAGACACAAACCTGGTCAAATATCTGTGCAATACAATGATGTTCAGCTGCTTTTGTAGCCCTAGCTGTAACATGCTCAGCTGGGTACCCTCCTGAGCACAGTGGGGCAGTTCTCTCCTTCACTAGGAGCCTGTGCAAGGCCATCTCCCGTGTAGCTTCACCAGGAAGAAGGTGGCCAGGGGAATGATGCCCCCGAATGACCCTACTGTCCTGCGGGCAGTACTGAAGTTGGTATGTGGGAACTTTCTAAGTAGAAACAAAGGCTTCTTAGCCTGGGACTGCAGTCCAAGGCATCGGCTAGAAACTCATTGTGTATTAACACTCCACAATGTATGTCTTTAAACTGTGAAGTCAAGTTTGGAGATTGTTTTGAAAAATGTTTCCATTTCTAATCTCTGGACTGCTGCACTAAGCATCCAGACTTTTCTAAACTCCTCTTTTAGGAGGGATCCTGATCCAAGAAGCCAGATTAACCATGAGCTATCTACAAAGGTGAGTGTCTATGTATTTCCCTCCCAGAGATAAGATGCTTGTAAAGATGATTGCTTGATTAAATTTATTCTGCTATTGGAGTATAAGTATTCATCATGACAGAAGATGAATACCAATGACAGAATAATTCCAAGCTGAATGTTTGATGTTAACATTTGCTTGAGACAACAAACTTATAAATGATTCCTGTTTCTAAAGGAAACTTGTAAAAGTTTCATATCTGCTTTAGTACAAGTAATTCTAAAACTCATTGATTTTGGTCATAAGGTCTTTGTAGGAAATAGAATGTGATTTGGGTTCCTCAGGAGGAACTGTGTTACTACGTTACTGAGTTAGCATAGTGTCTGTACCTTTTGGGGTTTGAAAAAGCAGGTGTGTCGCTGTTCCTGTGAATCTGTGTGCTGAGCATCTTTGGATGCGAATAGAACTCGGCTTGTGTATTACAAACAATATATGGACCTGCCCTGTGAAAAGACAATGTCTGGAGCTGAGCAGCTCTCATGGAGAAATACTGCGGGCAGTGTTCAGGTTGCAGTAGTCACAGTGAGAAGCTTCTGAAGCAAGGCAGCAAACGTATTCTCCTACAGTAGGAAAGCATCCAGCTGGAGGTGTCTGTGCCTTGGGGTCCAAGGGAAGGCCCCACCACAGCTTATATAGCTACAGGACAGCAAACGCTGTCTGACAACTCACCACCAAGTTCTCTTGCTGTTGCAGATGTCCGTGACTTGCTGGCACACCTCAGTGACAGGGTGTGTTGGCCTGGCTGTGTGGGACGGGGTGTAAGGTCTCACGTACCCACAGCTGTGCTGGCAGAACTGGGCAGCTGGTGCAGGAACCCGTGTCCTGCAGGCCTCTTCCTCCTTCCCAGTTTTATCTCCAGGGAAGGTACTCATCCAGCTGGCTTCTGCACAGCAAGCCAGGCCTGGGCTCAATGTCTGTGTTCAGATGAGATAAACCATCACCTCAGTTTCCCTGAGCAGCCCCTTGAAGGAAGCAACGTGTCTCGTGCGAGCAGGCAGACTTGTTCGTGGCAGTTGTGAAGTAACTGGGGTTACCGAAGAGTCATGGTACCCTCTAGCCGAGGAGACCGGTATTGCAGGAAAACCGGGCTGCATGGGAGAATGACAGCTGCAGAGTAAATCTGCTACCAGGTAACATCCGGGTTACCGCAGTAATTCTTTATCTTAAAAGAAAATCTCAAGTGACTTACTAAAATATTCTTTTTCCTGGAGTACTGATTACTTTTATAACAAATAAGAGGTATCTTTATTCCCTGAGCTCTTTAAGATACTGTAAAATACAGCTGCCCTATGACATAGAACCTGTTGTGAAGGGCTGCTGTTTCATATGGGCCACAGCGTAGTGGATGACAGGACAAACTCTTTATCCCACCCTTTAAGGTCACATACCATAACCTACAGCAGTGGCTTCTGTGCTCACCACCATGTGCAGCATGAACCGCTGTCCCTGTATGGTCTGCGGGAGGATGAAGAAAAATCAGTCCGCTCTCTTGTTCACTTCATGCTCCACTGCTTAGCTCTTGTTCACTTACCTCCCCTGCCAGCAGACATCCCTCTACAAGCTGTACCAGCAGTTCCTATTTCCCCAGCAACTGTTGCTGTAGCAATAACGATGTTCCAGCTGTTCTGCAGGCTTTTAGCCCTTGGTGGAAAAGTGGTTCCCAGTGAGAAATCACTGGGAATACAAACAGATATGCTGAGACCTGCTAATCTGCCTTTAGTCAACAGCTGGTGCCTCAAAGCTGATGAGAGCCCGAACTGATGCAGAAAGTCCTTGCTGCAGCCAGAATAAAGCAGCTCTGGCATGGCTGTAGCCACACTAAGCCAGTGCAGCAACCTTCTCTCCTGGACCCAAAATAAGCAATAGCTCTTATTTAAACACAAGTTCAGTATGTAAGTCTGGTTAATTCAGAGGTATTGGACTTCCACCCACCAAGGCTGGTAACATGTGCTCTTGAATCTGCAGTACGTGGGTGAAAGACTCAAGTATTTTGTTGTTGCCTGCTGTCCATCACTGACTCTGTCAGCCACAGGCCTAGGAATCAGGCAGGGCTGCCAGGAGAAGGAGATGCAATGGTAGCAGCCCAAGGAGGCTCAGGCAGATGTTGCTGGCTTGACTATGATTCTCCTTAGTTGCAATTTCTACCTCTAGGGCTAGCAAGTAATGATTTAAAAAAAAAAAACACACACACAAAATAATGATTTAAAAAAAAAACACACACAAAAACCACTTGATCATACCAGGGTAAGATGGCCTTTGTTGGGTGGTCAGAAAAACACAGTGTGCCAAAGTGGAAAGGTAAGGTCAAGAAGACCTGGCAGTGTACTGTCATGCCTGGATGAACATTAAAAATGGGAGAGGGAGCAACACAGGTGCTCTGAGAGTGCTATACACCCTTAAAAACATGACAGATGATGTTGTTTAAGTTTTTTGACTCATACTTGTCTTTGCTGTTTTTGTGACCTTCTAGAGATATCCTCTGAAAGAGAGCAATATGGTTTCCCGCTACAAAAAGGAGTTCCTGGAGCTAGAAAAAATTGGTGTGGGGGAATTTGGCTCTGTCTACAAGTGCATCAAACGCCTTGATGGATGCGTTTATGCCATCAAGCGCTCCAAAAGGCCTCTGGCAGGATCCTCGGATGAGTGAGTGTGCTAGCTAGAAACTGCCAGTTGAAGTGATGGGCATGTTCTTGGGAGGTGTGATGGGGAAGGAGGGAGTGTGGATCTAAAGGTATCTGAGGGGTGGCATGAGCAAACACTGGCTGCTGTTGCACTCCTAAGTAACAGTTGGGAGAGTGGGGGAAGTTACTGCTTAAGGACTATTGGATAAAAATGCCTGAGAAAGGGAAGATGCCAGATGCATTGCAGGAGGAGATGACAGCTACCTGAGCTCCTCGTGTCCATGCAGCCAGTCTCTTTAAAATAACTGTCAAATATTTCACTGTGGTATGTCACTGCCCTGTAGAGCTGGCACTGCTCACATCTGTATTGACCAGCTGGAGTTGTCCTGTGCCTATTAAAAAGGCAATGGCAGCTTCAAAGGACTTGCTCAGTGATATTTTCTTGGACAGCTGCTCAGCACATCTGAGCAGGGACAGGTTTTGCATCAGCAGCTGTGAGAGCCAGTCTGTCTGCCAAAACCCAAGAGAAAATCCTAAGCACCTCTGCTTTCCCTTTCCCAAGGCAGGCTGCAAACCCAGCAGCACCTCAGCACCCTGTCACCCCCGTTTTTTCTGTGTGCGCTTCTCTAGGCAGCTGGCACTGCGTGAAGTTTATGCTCACGCTGTCCTGGGACACCACCCCCATGTTGTGCGCTACTACTCGGCGTGGGCAGAGGACGATCACATGATTATCCAAAACGAACACTGCAATGGTGAGAGCTGTGACACTGTTAAAGGCTGAGGTCTTGGGATGGGTGTAGTTACCTTCTTTTGTAAACCAAAACGTCAAATATTAAAGTACATCAGGCAAACTGCACTGGGGCTACAGTTCCATGGAGAATCCAGTAAGGGCTCATAATATTTAGACAAAGCTCCGAATGGTTCAATGTCTTACAAGTAGTGAATACCCTCTGACTTGTGGGATTTTAAAACTGTTCCTCTGTGTTGGCTGGCCTGGAAAAATATTCCCCTTGCTGATGCTTAGACCTGTGTCTGGGACTGCTCAGGTAAAATCTGAGTGACTCAAGTGCCATGTATCCTGAAAACAAACCCTTCTTAATGAAGGGGAGTAATGATTCGAAGAGTGGCTACCTGGTTGAGATGAAGGCACGTTGCACCTTGGCTAGAAGAAAGGGCTCAGTAGCTGCAGAGGAATGGAGCTAAATAATGAAGTCAACTGTAAATGGGGTGCTGCAGGCAGAGCGGTGCACTCATAGCTGGGTTTGCCTTTGGCCATACCACTGTTTGGGAGACAATGGAAAAGACCCCTATTGCTACCAGAGGAGCTGAATGCAAACATGTACCTCTTGTCTTTCAACTGCTTCTACAGTCTTGGGGCTCAACTGGGGATAGGTGTTTTGAGTGATAACTCAAATCTAGTGGAGGTAACCATGACACATGGTGATCGTTGCTGCAGCACTGATGCATTTATTGTGTTCTAATGGATGAACATCTGACACTAGAGGACAAGTGGTGGAAAGCAGGCTGATGAGGAGGGAGGCCATGGTATTTGCTCGTCCTGAAATAACCACAGTGCCTTAGTGGAGACCCACAAAACTCTTCGTGTCACATATTATGTTCTTCAAGCAAAAAACCTGCTAGTGGGAGTTAAGTTTCCTTCATATACCTGCTTTCTGCCTGCAAGTATGGCAAAAGTAATTAACTCTTCCATTGTTTGCTTGCATCAGCATCACTCCCAGGTCAGCCCTTTTGGTGCTGTAGGTAGAACTGCAGTCACTCAGTCCTTGGCAAGCAGGAGGCAGGGTGCTCCAAGGCAGTGGAAATGCTGAAGCCAAATGGTAATGTCCAGGATGGATCATTAGAGCATATACAGCTGGTCTAGTTGGGGTTTGTCACTATCAAGCCTGCAAGTACCCAGGAAAACAGTTTCTACTAAGCTGTTTCAAACCTGCTGCTCCATAAAGCCTTTATCAGGTCTCAGGCTGACTGTTTTCACCTAGGTGGGAGTCTCCAAGATGCACTGCAGGAAAACGCCAAGCTTGGCCAGTATTTCTCAGAAACAGAGCTGAAAGAAATATTGTTACAAGTCTCCACGGGGCTAAAATACATCCACAACTCTGGCCTTGTGCATCTGGATATCAAGCCCAGTAAGTACAGTGCCATCCTTTGTGGAGGGTCCTCCAAGTGAACCTCTGGGGTGGGTCCTTCTGACTGGACCTATTACAGTGCTTCAAAGGGAAGGATCTTGCCCTAGAAGGTGAATGTCTTCTGTGTTTGGGTGGGTGTGGGGGTTTTTCTTTTTTTTTTAAAATCTTGCCCCTACTGCTGCTCCAAAACTGAGCCTTCTCTCACAGTTGGAAGCATTTTACTTCTGCCTCCATGATCCTCATAATCCTGGCTCATGGGAATCACTTTCCTACTGGTGGAGCAAGTAGGGCTGCTAACGAAAACAGGCACTTCCTTATGTGCTGCTGTCTTGTTGCATGACACTTGACCTTTTCATGTGAGACCTGGAGTGAGAAGGGACTATTGATTGCACCTACCCTGAGGGATTAAGTTCCTGCAAGAAATAGTAACCAGCTTTGCTCTCTGCGGCTGAGGGTGGGTGCCTCTGGGGCAGTGCTCCCCCCACAGGCACAGTTTCATCCCTACGGCTGAGCTCCTTCTCCCCTGGTGAAATCATGCTTCTAGCCTGGGGGGCAGAGGGAGGGGCAGGAGAACAGATTACTCTAGGGTATTTAGTGCACAAGTTACTCAGCAATACAGCTGTCAGAAGGCAGTTGTAGGTGAGCTGGGCAGAAACCAGACCAACAGGTGGGAAGCATGTGCATGGTTTCTCTGGCTGTGAAGCTTGACAGGTGGGATTTTTCCAAGTTGTCAGGCTGCTGCAGCCTGTCTCCTGGTAACACTATTGCTGAACTTTGCTGTCTTTCAGGTAACGTCTTCATCTGTCACAAGCTGGCAGTTGCAGGCCCTGCTGGGCAGGATGAGAGTGACAGTGAAGATGAATTCTCTTCTGGTGTGGTGTATAAGATTGGTAGGTTTTGGCTCACTTTACAACTGGCTTAATATTAGGGCTGCTCATTACTGCTTGATTTTGCTGTGTCCTGCTGGTGGATGGGACTTGCATACAAAGCTGATAGCATAGTCCTGAATGCCTCTGCTTCTTACCAGATCTAATTCTTCTAAGGAGATGAGTCCTAGAAAGCTCGTGTGTGTTTCCAAGCCCAGATTCCTGAGTTAGGAGCAGGCTTGCTCTCTTACTCAGTGTTTCCTGATTGCTCTGTTGGTGCCTGTAAAAGGCAGGCTTTTATTGCCAGAGGAGATATACATCAGTTTGCTCCACTAGTTGCTTGTTCTTTGTCTCAGGTGACCTTGGCCATGTGACATCGATAACCAACCCCCAGGTGGAGGAAGGAGACAGACGTTTTTTGGCCAATGAGATCTTGCAAGAGGTACAGCTGTTTGTGGGGTGGTGGGGAGAACAGCAAATGGGGAGAGTTCCACTCAAGTGAAATCATTAGTCTGGCATGTTCCTTGCCTTTATCTCCTTTCTTGTGTCTGGTCTGGCTATGAAGTCAGCAAAATTAACCCTTCATTCTTGTCATGTAAATATTTAATATGCTTCATAAGTAACTTTATCGTTGGATTATTGCAACTAGTCTACCTGGGAGAGATGCATGGGGACAAATCCTTTATCAGCTGGGAGTAAACTGCTGGATGTGACTGCTGAGGAATGTATGCATCCAGACTTGAAAAATAAGCACTAATTAGGTAGTGTGGAGAGGTGGCAGGCACGACACAACACACCTCTTTAATTGGCTGCAGTTTTACTGCTCTGGTCAGTGAACAAAAAGGGAATTGGTATGTAACAACCAGCTTGGATGTGTTCAACTCTGGTATTTAAGTGACAGTACCTTTGCTGCAAGTGGATTTAGGAGCTGGTAGGCCATTGTGCCCTGTGCAGGCTTTACCCAGAGTTGGGCACAGCTGGCTTATTGCTTTGTGGTGAAGGCAGCAGGCACACATTTAGGCTATCCTCTGGATTTGCCCTAGTGATCCTAATGTGGGCTGCAAGCCCCTCACGACTGGGTGAAAGCTAACGTGCTGTTAGTTACCAATACTACTTGCTGTCGATGTGTCTGTTCTAAAGAATAGAAAACAGCTGACTGGGCTGGTCAAGGCTGTGTTGTACAAACACTTGTTTGGTGGTTTCCTTATGAGCTGGTGTCCCAACCCACCTCTGAGTACAGCAAGACACTCCCTTTCTGTAACTGTTTATCCTCTCTCTGCAGCAATACTGCTATTTGCCGAAGGCAGACATCTTTGCCCTGGCGCTCACAGTAGCTCTAGCAGCCGGCACGGCACCCCTGCCTCACAACGGGGCCATGTGGCACCACATCCGCAGAGGCAATATCCCACCGATCCCCCAGCAGCTTTCTCAGAGCTTTCTTGAGCTCCTGGAGGTGAGGAAGGAGTCTCGATGGGATGGAGTTCTAGCTGGCATGTGTTGAGGTGAGTGTTAAGTGCTGAATGTCTTTGCCTTCTAGCTCATGATCCATCCTGACCCAGCAGAAAGACCTTCTGCCACAGCTCTTACTAAACATCCAGTTCTCTGTCCTTCACGTGGAAAAGCTGTGCAGCTCCAGAAGCAGCTAAATGTGGAAAAGTGCAAGACTGCCATGCTGGAAAGGTATGGCTGGCTTGGGCATGAAGGGGCAAAGATGCTGGCACAGCAAGTGACAGTCACTGGGCTTGACTGTAGGGTGACAGTGTTGGGAGACCGAATGTGCAGGAATACCCAGTCAGCTCCTGTGCCTGGATCCGGGAGTATGATGGGGCTGTGACTGGGGCTTGTAGCGCTCAAGTGGCTGTGGCTCACCTCAGGCTTTGAGGAGCTGGTTAAATTAGAGCAGTGAACTTGCACGCTTCCTGCAAGCACTGGCCATGGAAAATACTGGTACAATGTGCAGGCAGATAATACTGCACTGAGACCTTGCTCCCTCTCACTGCTGTTGGCAGTGATGTTCTGAGGTGCTGGGATCTGGGAACAGCCCCATCACCCCTTTTACTGCCCAGCCACCTATTGCACTAGGTTTTTTTCATGTAGCCAGGAGAGTATGTGCTCTGGGAGAGCAGCAAGCATCAGGGGGGAAAGGCAGTGGAGAAGAAGCATGTGCCTTTACTACGTATTTGTGTTGTCTGAGATGGCACTAAGTTCCCCCATCACAAATACCTAAAATTATGGGAGAAAAACTGAACTAGGGCCTCTTCCTACTGGTGCCAGCCTAGGGGTGTGTTGCTGACCTGATGCATAGTTTTCCTGTGCTAAACCTTCAAAGCTGATCTTTTCTGAAGTAGAAACTCTAGTGACACCTACAGTAGTCTTTGCCACACTTTGGGGTCCAAAGTTGCCACTCTCCAGCGATGCTGGAGTACTGCAGTAACCCTCCTGTGCAAGGTTGTTCATAGCTTGCTTCTGTAGCTGGTGGGGATTCACAGATGACATGGTTTTCTTCCTCTCCTCTTTCTTCCATTTCCCCCCTGCAGGGAACTTAAAGCAGCCCGCCTTGCCCAGACCCTCAGGAAGGACCAGCCCTTAGGAAGTGCCAAGTTGCAAGAGTCTGAAACCTCTTCTAAGCAGAAGAGCAACCGGCTGGTGGGAGGGAAGAGCTGTCGGTCATTTAGCTTTACTTTGGGTTACTGAATTTCTGTGCTGTCCAAAAAGCTCTGGCTGCTGAATGGCCCTGTGAAAGCAGAGGGTCTGCACAGACCAGTGCCCCATACTAGCTCTCCCTGTTGTGGTTTTTGGTTCCCTCTTTTTAGTTATGAGATGTTGGCTGAGGGAAGGGTGATAGGTTACGAGTGTCTGATGATGGGATTTGAGATTATTGTCCTCAGTCTCTCACCTGTTCAATTTCTTGTGTAACTGGTCTTGGTCTAGACTAAGAATAGCTTTGCCATACAAGGGAACGGATGGCATTTCCTCTACTCGCTTCCCTCTTGTTTGAGCCCTATTATTGATGAGTGTGGTCTTAATGTGCTGGGCAGCTGTGTATCTTTAGAGGGGAGGTAGTGGCTGTACATGGAGATGGCATCTGCAGCGGGGTCCTCCTAGAGATGCGGAGGTGGAGGCCCTGGTAGGCAGCTTTACCTGCAGGTCAGGGGACAGACTGGTTACACAGCGGTCCTGATGGACTTGGGATGCACGCTGGAGTGGTGTGAGGTGGACAGTGTTAGAGGACTCACTTTGAGTTGAGGGAGCCCAACTTGTGGAAGTTGTGCTTGCTGCTGAAAATCAGGGCAAGTTCTCCTTCAATGTCATGTCGCTGGCGGGGTTCAGCTTTTGCAGACCAGTCCCGGTTTCATGCCGACGGGTGAGGAGTCCTTGCTGAAAGTGGAGGAAACGGGTGAGCGGGAGGTGGGCCTGTGACCCTCCCGGCAGCTTAGGTGTGGTGCAGCGGCCTGCGAACGGCAGCCCCGGGCACGGGACCTCCGGAAGGGCTTTTCGGGCCTTGCGGGTTTGGGTTGTCCCCCCGCGGTCTGTAAGCTCCCGGCCCGCGTGGGCTGCGGCCGCTGTCACAGGGGAGAGCGTGAAGGTGGCAGCTTGGCCGTTTCAGGATTTGCCGGAGTTTAG